CCTTACGCTTCGACTGACGGAGCGCTGATGCTGGACGAGAAAGGAGAGGTGAAGGTCATGCCCAAGCGGCCCGGATTTGTTTCGAATGATGTTTTTTTCTCATTGGCAACTCTTGAAAGAATACGTAACAGTTCATTCCAACTTTACCAAATTTTTTATTTTTTTTTTTTTTTTATATTTTTTTTTATTGTTCCTGGTAAAAGTACATCATGTTTGGATAAGAGTCAAAATACATGACCAGGGTTTTTTAAGAAAGTACATATCATTTGCACACATCCATACGCACATTCACACTCACAAGAAGCTTTAGTACTTATGAAGACAGAATGCAGGATATATATTTAGTAAAGTTTTGGAATAGCAAATGTTTATATTTTCAAAAGGTTTTCATAGGGAGCCCATTTCGTATAGAATTCAGTCTGTTTGGCTTTATTAAAGTGTCTATATTTTTCTAGTTGGTAATAATATTTAACCTCATTTTGGAAATGTGTAATGGTTGGTTGGTTATTTTTCATTTTGCATCTATAAATGTGAAATTTGGCCAATAAGAGTATCAGATCAAAAATATCATCAGTGTGGAAATGTTTTGAAAAGCCAAAAAGAATTAGGTCTGAAGTAAGATTTATCTTGCCAGTATGTGGACACTTGATTCAATCCAGTGTGAAAATCCTTTCCAGAAATCTTTGCTTACCCTACAGTCCCAAAACAGATGTTGGATAGATTCTGGCTCGGCATTACAGAAAGTACATAGACAGTTGTCAACAATATGCATCTTGAGTAGATAAGTATTAACAGGTAGAATTCTATGGAGCAATCTAAGCTGAAACCATCTAAGTTTAGGGTCTGGAGTAGTTTTGTGTGCTCTGATAAATAAGCTAGGCCAGTTCATATCCATTAAAAGTTCCTCTTCCCACTAGTCAATAACTTTTAAGCTTTCATCGGTTTGACTTATTACATAGTAATATTTCTTTGAGCCTTTACATGAAAAGAGATTGGCAATAGATATATTTGTATTGTTTGTTGTTTCCAGATGCAGGTCTTTATTAATGCCTAATTGTATCATGTATGTATTTACTGATCTTGTAATACCATAAAATTCAAGAAAATTTATATTGAAGTATTTATTACAGAATTGTTGCAATGTCATAAAATTTCCATCATTGTTTAGCAGGCAATGTATGCTGTGTATATTATTGAGATGAAAGGTTTTGTTATCTAATGATTTGCCATTTATAATAATATTTTTATTGTATAGCAGAGGTTCCCTTAGGAACTCTTCATAATTAGATCTATTGGTTTTTATTTTATTGCTATATTTAGAAAAGGCAGTAAAACAATCTTTCCAAAATTGGTTTTTAGTTTTTTTTAGCAAGCTTAAGTGGAAAATCACTTCCCATAAATAGTAGATCAGGAAATTCAGGAGTAGTATCAGTCATTAAAATTTTCCATTTCTTTTCCAAATCAACATTTAGTAACTTTTTTATCCAGATTATTTTCAAAGCGTCAACATATGCAAAAATATCTATCATACCAAGTCCTCCAAGGGAAATAGGTTTACAAGCAACTGTTCTCTTTATTTTGTCTGGTTTATTATCCCATAAAAACTTGAAAAGAATAGTATTTATCAACATGCAGATGTGCAAACATATTTTTAATGAAATATGCCTTACTGTACTTCACTTTGCACATGATTTGCACTGAATCAATTTATTGTCTTTATACGCGACTAGATTAAAGTTGAAACACGTTTTCCAGTATGTTAATACATATATAAAATATGTTAGTGTACGGCTACAAACTCCTTGGCGATTTATGAGATCGCACGGGCAAAATTAGCTAAATTAGTAGGCCTGATTGCCGCGTGTGGACGGCGACACGTGGACACAGCACGTGGGCTACAGTAAATCTGTAGACATGGTGAGATGAGATTAATTAACAGTGCTGATTGAGGATACTATTATGCGATATAATAAATCAAAACTAAAAACAGTTAGACAACAATAAGAACATCATAGTGCATAGCCGAACAATATGTATAAAACGCCTTACGCTTGGACTGACGGAGCGCTGATGCTGGACGAGAAAGGAGAGGTGAAGGTCATTCCCAAGCGGCCCGGATTTGTTTCGAATGATGTTTTTTTCTCATTGGCAACTCTTGAAAGAATACGTAACAGTTCATTCCAACTTTACCAAATCTAATTGTATATGAATACATGTTGATGTTTTTTATGTAGTATTTCTAAACTGAAGCGATGGAATTGCACATCGATGTTAATATGGTTACAGGCTGCATAGGCTCTGCGATTGTGTGCAAGGCGCAGAGACGGAGCACAGCCGATAACAGACAACAACCCAAACGACGTATGTAAGGTCCACTGTGAGTGGTTGCGTGCTGCTCTATTTAAAGGGGCACTGATCTAACGCAATTCCCCGGGACTGGTTGTTGCCTTTGTTATTGTTTTTTCCAAGTGAGTACCCGGATGTATAGCAGAAATCAAGACTAGTTCGCGACCTCTGCTGCGCCATTCGTAAGCGCATAGGTCACTTTTATGGGTAGTAATAAGGGCGTATGGTCACACTGATCAACAAAATGAAATACAGTTTTCGAGATAATAAGGAAATGTAGGTATCTTTGTGGGTAGCATCGGTAATGGTGACGAAGTTTTAATAAGTCACTTGCTTGGTAATTTTGCGATTTTCGTTTACACTATTTTGACTTGCTACACAAAGTAAATATTTCACCTGAGCATTGCTTTTTTTATAGTGTGTATATTTTTTTACTGTGAAATGTGTAACAAATTTATTAAACGTCTAAATATTCAGTTATTTTACAAAGTGACTGAAAAACATTTCCATCTGTATTATTATGATAACGAATTCCAAACATTTTGATGTTTAATGTCATCACCAAGAGACTGAAAATGTAACGTTGAAAAGTACATTTCCATGTTGTTTGGCTTCTAATCCTACATAATAATCTGTTGTGATGTTTGTAGGCCCTTTTGATCGTCTTAATCAATCTGGACAGATTTTTTAGTCAAAATGACTGAAATATTTACACATTTTATAAATTGCCTGAGAGAATCACATTTTACGAATTGACGGCAATATATACACGCTTAAAAAGGAAAAGACCTGTGAAAACAACGTCTATCGCTCATTGAAGAATTTCCCAACCAAGACGTAGAGAAACAAGAACGAATCGGTTCAAATGAAGGAAAACAAAATGAAAATATCATAATTACAACCTACCAAATTTATGTGTATAAATTTTAGGCAGCTTCCTTGTTCGAGGAATGTATCCGTGAATATCCACACAAAGGAACAATATCCCACTCGTCTGCAGCTGTACAAAGAAACTTATTCGATGTCACGTGTCTCAGTAACAATAAAATATTTTAAAAGATATATATCGTTTCGGGATATTATAACCCGTGTTCGTTTCTCAACTGATCACCTGGATTGTTTAAGGTGTTTCACATAGGTGTCAAGTCTCAATGGTCTGCAGAGAAAGCCCACGTGACAACTATTTTCATAACGTCCACGGTTCCCAAAAAATCCATTGAGTGATGGATAACAATGATCAATCAATCAACGTATTAACAGTTAACCCTTTGAACAAAGTATGTTGTTTTTACATCGGCACTTAACGCCATGATATGAGTATATTCCCTTTGTTTTAGTAAACCTAGACATGTAAACACTCACTCTTGACATATCCACTGTGCAAGATAACAGTGATTAATCAATCAACGTATTGTCTGTTAATGCTTTGATGACTAGGAACGATCCGTTGATTTACAAAAAAAGTAAATCAACTGATCATTCATCTCTTGCTGGGCTGCCACGTGCATATTACATAACACACATTTCACCTCACTTCAAACCTGGATTTAGATTGAATAATTACCCCAGACACAATAAATGCCAAATGGGAACCTTTGTCAGGTAATCTAAGTGGTGCTACCACTAATTGTACCTGTAATAAATTCATTAACTGAGCATCAAGTGAATGACGACAAATACACAAGTGTAGGGTTATACGAGAAAACGTGGATGACAACAAGGGAGTAGTAATCGTAGTATCGACGCAAGCCGAAATCCGAAAATGCTTTCACTGCATGGATACTTTTTTTAGTATTAAACTATAACCATCTGGGGTATTTCCAAATGACGACATCCGATGAGCTCCGCTGTTCTTTTTGTCTGTTTGTTTAGGCAGAAGAAATGAATTAACATGCGCCCTTTGTCGAAATCTTTATAGATCACAGTTAACCAATCAGTGTTTATGCAAAAACGCGTAAAACAAATATTGCCTCCAGCCTCAAAGTTTATTTAGCTGTCCTTGCAGACGGTAGCCCAGTCTCTGGTCACGCTCAGTTGCGTTGCGTATCATCCGGGTACTCACGGGGAAAAAAAACAATAACAAAGGCAACAACCAGTCCGGGGAATTGCGTTAGATCAGTGCCCCTTTAACTGTCATGTTCACCCTCACCTTAGCACTATGATTGCTTTGTGTAAGGGGCGCAGACTTAATTGTTGACAGGCCACCTGGATATGGCTGGGATCAAAAACATTCACCAACTCTGTTTATCCCATGCATAATTTCTCCATACTATTATGATACATAACCTGTACCCATTCACCACAATAGTATTGTTAATGGACTGACATCATCATCATTTCTCTTACCAGAAACTTCACACAGAAGATCTCTAGCTCTTGAGTGCATTTGATTGGACATCTTTGTTAACCAATGCATAATTATAATCAGCCACAAAATAAAATGCTGGTGAATGTTCCAGGGTATTTGATATTGAAAAAGGGAGACAAAATACCCTGTATCATCAAGGATGGTACCATCAATCACAGAAAGCATTATGGCAAAATATTTACACACAGTTAAAAGTACAAAATACGCCTAATCAAATTTAAGAATGTTTTCAACTCAGATTGCAGCTCCAACACTCATTTACAGTAAAAGATAACACAACACATAATCAAAATTATTCCTTGCGTTTATTACTCGGAACATGATATGGTTGGAAAGTTACTACTGTATCAAGTATTACTAGGAGTACTGTTTGAAGACAGTTCAATATTAATTTGCATCCAAACACGAGGATCTCCATGTTATGTCTGGGTATACACCCATGTAGCCACACAGATGGGATCAAACTCAAGACTTAAAATAAACAAACAAAACAGCCCTTCATACTACCATCATGTCAAGGTATATTTATGAACTATATATATACACTGTATGCAATGTATACAACAGAACAAGCCTTATATAACAGCTTCTAGGGCGATATATTCTATAACACATCAACGTCCTTGCAAAACATTGAATAATGCATCAGTTTCCTTGCGAAACATTGAATAACACATCAGTTTCCTTACGATATATTCAATAACGCATTAACTTTTGTGTGATATATTCAGTAACACATCAACCTCTGTAATGCATTGACCCCTTGTGATGTAACATTTGAGTACCCTGCGAAATGTTCAAGATGATTCTGAGAACATAGTATATTACATCATCTTTCATGTATCATACTCTGTCAAGTCTCAACCTATTTGTGAGAAACTCAGAATCATGTCAAGTCTGCTGCAAAATTCTGCAACTCGTCTCCTTTCATGTGATTATCTCAACACTGCATCAAAATGCAAGACTTTTATGTACACTACTCCACACATGCATCGGACCCAAAGTGTCATATTTAGTCCAAGGTCAGGGTGCCGTTACAAAGCGATCTTGCGCTAAGGTGATTTTAACTCCCATACCTCAACACAGGCTTACAACAGTCATATCGCTAAGGATGTTTTGTACAATGGCGCCCTGGTCTTTAGCAAATGTTGAGTAGCATATATCATACTTGAGAACAATGCTTTTTGAAAAACCTCACATTATGCATGCATGGAAATGACTTTATCGCTGAAGACGATTCATTCCATAAACACCTGCTGTAAAAGTTTGTTTTCTTTCTTCAGTGCAAATCATGCACAGGTTTAAGCTTGCATTTTGGTAAGAGAAAAAAGGCTAAATCTCAGGAAAATATTTGGACTATAACACCTGACATTACATTCAACATCCTGAAAAACTGAGGTACTAAACTGACAAAAGTCCAACACAAGGGAATAGTTGCAAGTATAAAACTGGCTCTAATGGCATCCATATTGAAACAGTCACGCCTCTCCTGTCACAACATATTGTGTTCCTAGCTACTGCTTGCACTCATATATCCGTTTCTTTTAATGATAAATGAAGTCACTAATGCATGCAAAAATGTTTTGGCATACATATATTGAGTTCAAATATTTATCACCATGGAAATCATTTAAATAATTGCATATGACTTTTGAATTTAGGCCACCAGAACTCAGAATGGACAATAGAAAAGGGTGTAAGAAAATAGTATTTCTTACAAAGGTCTAAAAAATGGTACATATTGAGGCGAAGTTATAAAAGTCATAAATTACTTATAAATTTGTATCAACTATGTATAATCTTTGTACAATATATCTACATAAATAGGTTAAAAATAAAAGATTTGCATATATTGGAGAGACCCTGATAGAAAAGCAAGAACAGAAGAGAGTTGACATCTATCTACAAGACCTATATACACAAGAAAAGACATTATGCAGGGGATATAAGGGAAGGTGTTAACAACATGTATATATATATACAATACTTACATAAAGGTTTGGGCATACAACTCAAACTACACATCGAAGCACATTAATGTGGAATATTCACAAGCAATTTCAGCCTCATACTATTGATTTGTTCTTAAAGTATTCACCAAAAAAATGCTGCATGGAAATTTGGAAACCATGGATTCTTTTACAAAACACTTCACTCCAAAATGTCATAATTGAGACCAAATAATGACTTCTTTTAACATATAAAAATTATGCAAATGTTTATTTTCTCAGTCCACAGAATCGACAATGTTATTTTTTGCATTTAGCATAACATGAGATCTCAAGAAATTAAAAAAGGATATTGCTTAGAACACAGTGATTCATAACATTTAACATTCTTTTTCGAAGATGGATATATAGTTGATATACCACAGTAACTAATATATATCGCTAACACCAAGCAAATGATATGTTAATGATGAAAGTTACTTGGGCTACAGGTGATACAAAGTCTTCGCAAGTTATTTTTATGTTCCGTTTGAGCCTTCTAAACTTGACTAAAGTTAAATGACTGTTTCATTGGGTAAAGAAGCGTAATGGCAGTTGGTAGCAAACAAGAACACAAGGCACACACATAAGATACTATTCTCCTAAAACAGATTTCAATATTACATTTGGCTATAACAAGAGATTCAGACATTGGTATATATACACATTCTGCACACAGAGACTGACTTAACCAATCAGATTCACAGATTGTGCCTCATGCTTTTTTCTCACTATTTTAAGACATTCTCTGATCATACTCGGATCTTTCAACACCTTTAAAAAATTATTCAAAGCAGGAGATATATCAAAATACATATTTGAACAGTTATAAAAAAACAATAACCTAACAAATGTTGTTTGTACACAAAAACTCATTTATTCAAGATTTATTGCTTGGCTAAGCAAATCAAGTGCAACCATACGCATAATAATTATCTTATTCTGAACCATTTAATTGTTGCACAACTTGACACTATAAGAAAATATCAAATATTCCAAATCAGGATAAAACATTAAACCATGTTTAATATTTTGTACATATTTTATGCATTTCAAAATTATATTATATAAACTGTATGCTTATATAATCAAGGCACACAGTCACATAGTTTTTAATTGCTTAAACAAAGGAATTATTGAAATGTGGATGGAGCAATAAAAAAAGACCCTAGCTAACTAGCCATTTCACCACAAGGCACCGCAAACCGTCGACTGTGGAATAACCCAGTACTGTAGCCAGAACTCATCTTCACTTATTAGTCAACAGTTGTATTGTAAGAATAATTATTGTATCTTCCAGTGTTATTCTATCGTACATGTTTCTTGCAGAAGGGCTTCCCGGCCTTGACATAGAAAGGAGCGCCTTCCAAACTAATTTGGCAAGTCTGAAAAAAAAAAGTTACGGAAGGTTATATAACATGTAACCAGATATTCACCTTAAATAATGCAAAATAAATCATATTTCCAAAAAGAAATTGTGTGTCTACAAATTCAGGGGAAAAAAATCAACTTATAAACCCTCATATTATGTGGTGTTCAAGACATGTTGTGTATTGATATTATACCATACAGCACACAGTGAAATAGTACAGTGTAAGAAAAACAACATATAACAGGAATAAAGCATGAACTAACAAGGTTTTGACATTTATGTATCTATTTATATATACATATCTTGAAATAGTTTTCACAATCACTTCTAAATATATATTGAGACAATCCAAGCAGGGCTTATGAACAGTATACAGACAAAGGGAGGTAACTCACCGAGCAGTTGAAGCATTCAGAATGGAAGTTCTTGCTCATGGCCTCGACCCATTTGTCGCCAGGTTCGATGGGGAAGCTGCACCCAGAGCACATTGTCTGGAACATGGCGTTCCAATCTACGGACAAAAACATTTACATGGATGAAAATGCGAAAAGCTGTCCTTAACAATTATCTTATCTTACTTAATTTTAGCCGACAAAATGTAAGGCCTGGTATCTCCAAAGGGAGACAGGGAGACAGGGAGACAATCATGGGGTACTGGGGACCTATTCTCCCCTTGAATCACTACAAGGTGACAATCATGGGGTACTGGGGACCTATTCTCCCCTTGAATCACTACAAGGAGACAAGTGTAGGGTACTGGGGACCTACTCTGCCCTGGTATCACTACAAGGAGTCAATCATGGGGTACTGGGGACCTATTCTGCCCTGGAATCACTATAAGGAGACAATCATGGGGTTCTGGGGACCTACTCTGCCCTGGAATCACCACAAGGAGTCAATCATGGGGTACTGGCAACCTATTCTCCCCTTGAATCACTACAAGGAGTCAATCATGGGGTACTGGCAACCTATTCTCCCCTTGAATCACAACAAGGAGTCAATCATGGGGTACTGGCAACCTATTCTCCCCTTGAATCACTATAAGGAGACAATCATGGGGTACTGGGGACCTATTCTGCCCTGGAATCTCCACAAGGGCACAATCATGGGGTACTGGGGACCTATTCTGCCCTGGAATCACTACAAGGAGTCAATCATGGGGTACTGGGGACCTATTCTGCCCTGGTATCACTGCAAGGAGACAAGTGTAGGGTACTGGGGACCTACTCTACCCTGGAATCACTACAAGGAGTCAATCATGGGGTACTGGGGACCTACTCTGTCCTGGAATCACTACAAGGAGACAATCATGGGGTACTGGGGACCTACTCTGCCCTGGAATCACTATAAGGAGACAATCATGGGGTACCTGGGACCTGCTCTGCCCTGGAATCACTATAAGGAGACAATCATGGGGTACTGGGGACCTACTCTGCCCTGGTATCACTATAAGGAGACACTCATGGGGTACTGGGACCTATTCTGCCCTGAAATCACCACAAGGAGTCAATCATGGGGTACTGGGGACCTACTCTGCCCTGGAATCACTATAAGGAGACAATCATGGGGTACCTGGGACCTACTCTGCCCTGGAATCACTATAAGGAGACAATCATGGGGTACTGGGGACCTATTCTGCCCTGGTATCACTATAAGGAGACAATCATGGGGTACTGGGGACCTATTCTGCCCTGGAATCACCACAAGGAGCCAATCATGGGGTACTGGGGACCTATTCTGCCCTGGAATCACCACAAGGAGTCAATCATGGGGTACTGGGGACCTACTCTGCCCTGGAATCACCACAAGGAGACAAGTGTAGGGTACTGGAGACCTACTCTGCCCTGGAATCACTACAAGGAGACAATCATGGGGTACTGGGGACCTATTCTGCCCTGGAATCACTGCAAGGAGACAAGTGTAGGGTACTGGGGACCTATTCTGCCTGAAATCACTAAAAGGAGACAAGCATGGGGTACTGGGGACCTACTCTGCCCTGGTATCACTACAAGGAGTCAATCATGGGGTACTGGGGACCTACTCTGTCCTGGAATCACTACAAGGAGTCAATCATGGGGTACTGGGGACCTATTCTGCCCTGGAATCACTATAAGGAGACAATCATGGGGTTCTGGGGACCTACTCTGCCCTGGAATCACCACAAGGAGTCAATCATGGGGTACTGGCAACCTATTCTCCCCTTGAATCACTACAAGGAGTCAATCATGGGGTACTGGCAACCTATTCTCCCCTTGAATCACAACAAGGAGTCAATCATGGGGTACTGGCAACCTATTCTCCCCTTGAATCACTATAAGGAGACAATCATGGGGTACTGGGGACCTATTCTGCCCTGGAATCTCCACAAGGGCACAATCATGGGGTACTGGGGACCTATTCTGCCCTGGAATCACTACAAGGAGTCAATCATGGGGTACTGGGGACCTATTCTGCCCTGGTATCACTGCAAGGAGACAAGTGTAGGGTACTGGGGACCTACTCTACCCTGGAATCACTACAAGGAGTCAATCATGGGGTACTGGGGACCTACTCTGTCCTGGAATCACTACAAGGAGACAATCATGGGGTACTGGGGACCTACTCTGCCCTGGAATCACTATAAGGAGACAATCATGGGGTACCTGGGACCTGCTCTGCCCTGGAATCACTATAAGGAGACAATCATGGGGTACTGGGGACCTACTCTGCCCTGGTATCACTATAAGGAGACAATCATGGGGTACTGGGGACCTATTCTGCCCTGAAATCACCACAAGGAGTCAAACATGGGGTACTGGGGACCTACTCTGCCCTGGAATCACTATAAGGAGACAATCATGGGGTACCTGGGACCTACTCTGCCCTGGAATCACTATAAGGAGACAATCATGGGGTACTGGGGACCTATTCTGCCCTGGAATCACCACAAGGAGACAATCATGGGGTACTGGGGACCTATTCTGCCCTGGAATCACCACAAGGAGTCAATCATGGGGTACTGGGGACCTATTCTGCCCTGGAATCACCACAAGGAGTCAATCATGGGGTACTGGGGACCTACTCTGCCCTGGAATCACCACAAGGAGACAAGTGTAGGGTACTAGGGACCTACTCTGCCCTGGTATCACTATAAGGAGACAATCATGGGGTACTGGGGACCTATTCTGCCCTGAAATCACCACAAGGAGTCAATCATGGGGTACTGGGGACCTACTCTGCCCTGGAATCACTATAAGGAGACAATCATGGGGTACCTGGGACCTACTCTGCCCTGGAATCACTATAAGGAGACAATCATGGGGTACTGGGGACCTATTCTGCCCTGGAATCACCACAAGGAGCCAATCATGGGGTACTGGGGACCTATTCTGCCCTGGAATCACCACAAGGAGTCAATCATGGGGTACTGGGGACCTACTCTGCCCTGGAATCACCACAAGGAGACAAGTGTAGGGTACTAGGGACCTACTCTGCCCTGGAATCACTACAAGGAGTCAATCATGGGGTACTGGGGGTCTATTCTGCCCTGGAATCACCACAAGGAGACAATCATGGGGTACTGGCAACCTATTCTGCCCTGGAATCACCACAATAAGACAAGTGTAGGGTACTGGGGACCTATTCTGCCCTGTAATCACCACAAGGAGTCAATCATGGGGTACTTGGGACCTACTCTGTCCTGGAATCACTACAAGGAGACAAGTGTAGGGTACTGGGGACCTATTCTGCCCTGTAATCACCACAAGGAGTCAATCATGGGGTACTTGGGACCTACTCTGTCCTGGAATCACTACAAGGAGACAATCCTGGGGTACTGGGGACCTATTCTGCCCTGGAATCACCACAAGGAGACAAGTGTAGGGTACTGGGGACCTACTCTGCCCTGGAATCACTACAAGGAGTCAATCATGGGGTACTGGGGACTTATTCTGCCCTGGAATCACCACAAGGAGTCAATCATGGGGTACTGGGGACCTACTCTGTCCTGGAATCACTACAAGGAGTCAATCATGGGGTACTGGGGACCTATTCTGCCCAATCACCACAAGGAGACAATCATGGGGTACTGGGGACCTACTCTGCCCTGGAATCACTGCAAGGAGACAATCATGGGGTACTGGGGACCTATTCTGCCCTGGAATCACTGCAAGGAGACAAGTGTAGGGTACTGGGGACCTATTCTGCCTGAAATCACTAAAAGGAGACAAGCATGGGGTACTGGGGACCTATTCTGCCCTGGAATCACTGCAAGGAGACAAGTGTAGGGTACTGGGGACCTATTCTGCCCTGGAATCACTATAAGGAGACAATCATGGGGTACTGGGGACCTATTCTGCCCTGGAATCACTGCAAGGAGACAAGTGTAGGGTACTGGAGACCTATTCTGCCTGAAATCACTAAAAGGAGACAATCATGGGGTACTGGGGACCTATTCTGCCCTGGAATCACTGCAAGGAGACAAGTGTAGGGTACTGGGGACCTATTCTGCCTGAAATCACTAAAAGGAGACAAGCATGGGGTACTGGGGACCTACTCTGCCCTGGAATCACTGCAAGGAGACAAGTGTAGGGTACTGGGGACCTTTTCTGCCTGAAATCACTAAAAGGAGACAAGCATGGGGTACTGGGGACCTACTCTGCCCTGGAATCACTGCAAGGAGACAATCATGGGGTACTGGGGACCTACTCTGGAATCACTACAAGGAGAAAAGAGTGGGGTTCTGGGGACCTACTCTGCCCTGAAATCATTACAAGGAGACAAGCATGGGGTACTGGGGACCTACTCTGCCCTGGAATCACTCTCCCCATGACTTGCTAGGTCATGTCTCACCTTTCTCACAGTAAGGGCTTCCATCCTCGATGTGGAACTGGTTTCCACCAATCGGCTGCTTGCACTGGAAGCACAGGAAACACTGAGGATGGTAGCTCTTCTGCAGAGCATTCACACACTCCTGCAAACAAGACAAGGTAGACTTAGCACCCAGTGAGTAAATCTACACTGCATCTGAAGTAATGCTATCAACTCAGTTGCATTTCGATCCACAACTTACATACAGAAACCCTGGAACTGCAACAACTCAATTCAGTATCCCAAACTTACTTCCACAGGAGATATAGCTTGTCTGTGAACAAACGATATCTCAAAGAGAATTTACCAGAGTTCTTTCTTCACCACCCACTGGTCAGTTGACGTAGGCCTTCAGGTTAAAATATTTAAATCTTACATTAGTGATTCTGCTATAGCCTACATTTTTCCTAAAAACATATTTCTATTTATTTTATTCAAATACTGCCACGAAATAACAGCTAATACTGAACTCTTTGGTTAGTGAGGATCTGATCGACTGCAAGGTTGCAAGATTCTAAACCTGTGATGTCATAGTATAATAATGTATACATAAATACAACATTGTTCACTTACTCCAACAATGGCAACACTGCACTTGGTACACTTCGGGGCAAAGTACAGCTCGTAGTCTCGCTCGCAGTAGAGGTATCCGCCCTCCTCCACGAAGCCGATGTCAATCAGCTTCACACCACAGCGGGCATTGGCACAGATGAAGTGGTCGGGACACCATGTCTTCCCCATGGCAACCACAAATGGACCTCTGGAACACGCACACACCATGTCTAGTGTTTCAAACATTTGGTTAGCATGTACCCTATTTACCATAATAAGTGCCGCGGGCACAGTCACTTGACAGAGGTGGTGGTGGATAGGGGTGGGGGGAGCTATTAAAACCACTAACAAATTAAAATTGTGTTAAAAAATCGAGGGATTGTGATCAGACTGAGTTCAAATTTCAATCAAAATAAAACTTTTTCAATAATAATATGCTGAATAAGGTCCATGAGTTATAAGTTGTGGAAGAAGGACATAATGAGGCAAATTTGTACTCAAATTAGTTACAAAGTTGCACATTCACCTCTAAACTTCAATTTGGGCATTGTACTCTATCCCACTCCGAGCTAAAATACTCTCTTGCAAGATACAGAATGGACTGTGGCCCCATGTCACCCGACAAGAGATGGTCGAGGTCGTGGCCACTCGGTGGCAGGGGCAGGCGCACCCCAAGAGTGAGTCTAGGTCTAAAGCCTGGACAGGCATATCTCCACATTTGGTTCCACGTTACTTCTCGTACGTGGGTCCTCAAACCCTCATTATGCCATTGTTATAAACTGAACTGCAAAAGAAACTTTACTTCATTGAAATACTTTTCATGAAGTGATGTTTCTTTTGCAGTTCAGTATATACTAATATTATAAATTTGTTTACCATCTCCATGGCTCTTGTCGCTGTTGTACAGGAGTTGTGTCCCTTGATTTATGTGACTGCTACGTTATAAGAATAGTTAGCGCATTACCTGATAGCATTCAAAGTGTATTACTACTGTTTAATCTCATGGCCTACTGCCTATTTTCATATAAAGCTGAAGGGTTGGGGGTTAAAACAACAACACATTTGAAGTGATTTCATGAAGGGACTTGTCAGTTGGGCGAACATGGTGTAATAAGAAAGCAACTATTTTTTTCAGAACTGAATCTGTTTCTCAAATTATATATTCTGTACCACATTTGTGAAATATTAACTTTGGGTGATCTCCATATAAAGCATTTTAAAATAAAAATCAAACAATGTATAAGAGTTCTTTTATAAGTACATTAAACTATGTTTATAACGAACACGCTTGTAACGAACTTATGCATATAACAAACTATTTCTTGGTCCCCTCCATTTGCTCCTTACATTGGTCTCCTCCATGTATATAACAAATTAAAATTAGTGGTCCCATTGAGATTGTTATAACCATAGTTTACTGTAATTTAAAGTTTTTCTATGCAATAACAAAGGTGACTCTTTACCTAATGGTATTCCCACACTGGGCACAGGTGGCCACCCTGGGAATGTCCGCTCCAGTCGCCCCCTGTTGGCGCACCACAGCATCACCCTTCTTGAACTTTGTTGCCCCCTTGCCAGTGGGCTTGGGCACTGGGCCTCGGGAACCCCCCATGGGTCCTCCGGGTCCCCCCATAGGTCCTCCCATGGGTCCTCCGGGTCCTCCCATCGGTCCTCCCATCGGTCCTCCCATGGATGGGCCTGGGGGTGGTGGTGCAGGGGCAGAGGGGGCCCATGGCTTGGCAGCAGGGGGAGGGGGAGGGGCTGATACTGGGGCTGGGGCTGGCTTAGGTGGAGCCCATCCAGTGTGCTTGGCTGAAATAGAAAATATATCTGTTGCAAATGTTGACAAAGTGAAACTGGGCATCTATTCTATTTATCCTTCACCTATCTGCATTTCCACCGATCTTGTGGACAAAGAGTCCATCCCATCCATTTTAACCTATTTCTGTCTGCATCTCTCTCATCCATCTATGCCCAATGGTATCTCCCACCTACTGGTATCTCCCCCATGATGCCAACATCCACCCCCACCTAATGGTATCTCCCCCATGACGCCAACATCCACCCCCACCTAATGGTATCTCCCCCATGACGCCAACATCCACCCCCACCTAATGGTATCTCCCCCATGACGCCAACATCCACCCCCACCTAATGGTATCTCCCCCATGACGCCAACATCCGACCCCACCTAATAGTATCTCCCCCATGAAGCCAACATCCACCCCTACCTAATGGTATCTCCCCCATGACGCCAACATCCACCCCCACCTAATGGTATCTCCCCCATGATGCCAACATCCACCCCCACCTAATAGTATCTCCCCCATGACGCCAACATCCACCCCCACCTACAGGTATCTCCCCCATGACGCCAACATCCACCCCCACCTAATGGTATCTCCCCCATGACGCCAACATCCACCCCCACCTAATGGTATCTCCCCCATGACGCCAACATCCACCCCCACCTAATGGTATCTCCCCCATGACGCCAACATCCACCCCCACCTAATGGTATCTCCCCCATGACGCCAACATCCACGCCCACCTACAGGTATCTCCCCCATGACGCCAACATCCACCCCCACCTAATGGTATCTCCCCCATGACGCCAACATCCACCCCCACCTAATAGTATCTCCCCCATGACGCCAACATCCACCCCCACCTACAGGTATCTCCCCCATGAAGCCAACATCCACCCCCACCTAACAGTATCTCCCCCATGACGCCAACATCCACCCCCGACATACCTCCTCCAGCTGCCTGTCCAGGTGTAACTCCTCCACCACTGTAAACAACAAACAAACAATCAACAACAGGCACATGCAATGTAAAGATTTAAACTCCACATAACTATTCTTCTGAAAGGAAGACATTAATTATTCATGTTCCACAGAAAGGAACAATTCAGAGACTGACTACATGTATTTCCATAACAGGAGTCACCTGACCCTCAGTAGATTGTTAAAGTGCACAGATATGATACAAGGACACGAAGAGTTGTAATACATGTACAGAACTGACATTCATCGTATTGTTGTCTAAAACTAATCACTAGTCTACGATTAGTAGGTTGGAACTGAACAGATTAATATTTCATGCACATTATGCTAACTATGTCATCATGGGATTATTGCAATACATATCATTTACTAAACAATGGCATTATATATTAACAGACTTACATTCTCAGCAATCTCTGGTGGTATGACTTAATAACACTTTCAAACTAACTTCTTCCTATGCCAGATCTTCCTACTCTACAGATTTAGGCCACAATAAATTATCACATTTTCATCCACACCTCCCTCTGACCATCTGATCTGCCCCAGTACCTACAGACAGGAGTATACATGCTAGCCTTCTTTGTAATATGATGAATAGACACCATACCTTGTTCGACTAAACATGAACGCTTTATGTGAATCACATTCATCAACAGTTAATGTGAACATATGCCTTCCATAGTTGGCTATAATAAATATTGGGACGGGGCAGTATATTTTTTATAGCCAACAATAGAAGGCATCTGTGCACATAAACTCCCACATTTAAATATACTGCCCCTTCCCTATATTTTTTGTGAAATGTGAATATAAATCTAATAATTAATATATTGTGGATTTATCTAAGCTGATCTAAGGGCAAGTGTTGGTAAACATCCCAAAGTTGGAACTAAGAATATCCCAATACAGGCTATCACAATTATAACTAATTTCAGAAATTAAAGTGCCATTTTAATCAATTCCAAATTTTGGGTTACCTGCAAATACATCATCAGTACTTAACAGTCTTGTGTACACTATGTTCTTAGAGTATACAAGACTGCATAATACAGATGACGTATTAAATAATGTATTTTTCCCCAATTTGACAACCATTCCTTTTCCTATTTCAAACAATGATTATCTCTGTTACTCTATTCCTGATCCTGTTATGACTAATTCTACATGAGTTGTCTCCCTTGCCACTTGTTCCCCCCCTGTCCTTTAAGCCAACATGGGTTGTCCCCATTATGAGTGACCATGACCTCATCTGCCCCTAATTACCATACCTCTCCAGTTGGTCTTGTAACATTTTGAGCGACCGAGATTGAGCAGGTTTGTATCTCGGATCCCCTTTCTCTTGCTTGTGTTCCTCCTCCTGAACCAACTTAAATGTTTCAGAAGGATAATATGCACGTTTTTCTGGGTTGGAATTATTTTCGGTGGATGTACCGTTAGTTCTGCCGAAAGTTGGTGCTGGTGATGGCTCATCGTTCCTGAAATAGGACACTCCATGCATATCATGCCAGGTGATCATTCCATGCCATGAACAATATCATTCAGTATACATACACCTGATATAGGGTTTATCACATGTACATCACTGTAAACAAATTCAGTAATGGCGACCTTCCTTATAAATAGTTTGATGGAAGTTTAAATTCCTTTGGACTATCATCTCAGCAGAATGAGTGAGTGAGTTGGGTTTATCGCCACTTTTAACAGTATTCCAGTTATATCACGGCGTGTCAGCTTAATGTGGAAGGAAAGCCCAAAGTGATACAGAGGTTTACCACTTTGGTGAAACCCACGAGCACAGGTATGGTGCTGACAAACCTAGAAACATAATCGGGGCGAACTGGGATTCGAACCCACAATCATAGGTTTCTGGTGTGCCCAAGGGATGCAACTCTGCACAGCGAATCACGGCGCCTTTGACAACTGGGCTACCCATGCCCCCTCATCTCAGCAGATGCCACTACAATTAACTGCACAGTTCCCTTCAAAATTTGTCTCTCTAAAGGTGCTGTAAGTATTGACACACAAATTATGTAGGTTTAAACATAGAAAGAGTGAAGATGACAGAAGAAATCAAATGATATTAAACGAATCAGAATTCAATAAATATTTTCACAGAATAAGCAATTGATATGATGGACTACATGGGGTTTGGTTACAATTCTAGCCTACGAGTTAAAGGGGAATTTTATTGGTATGTTAACAGGATTTCACACTCTGCATGCAGTAGTTCACAAACTCATCACAAATACATTCATCACTCAAACATCTTAATGAAATATTGGTATGAGCAAACAGGTCAGTTCACACTGACCTCATACAGTATGATAATGAAAATATTACATACGCTTTTATTGTTTCGACTATACAGAAAGTAACAAGTAACACGAAAGTCATTTGGATCATTGACTCATAGAATTCATTGCACTTCAGTGTTGAATATAAATCACACCATACACATCATGATGACAATGCAATACAATTCACCCAATGAGAACACTCGTGACATCATTCCATTGTGTGCCTGTAGACTAGGGAGCTAGTTGTCACACAAGATTCTACAATGTCCGATAATGAGACACATCAACCCCACAACACAGTTTCCTATAGGATTCTAACAAATACTAAATGCCTGATCAACCAATGGAAACAGCAGAACAGGTCACATGACCTGCACCACACTGCACACAGGCGACCTATCAAGCGCAAGGCGAGTATACCTGCGCCAAGCCTGAACAGGTTCAGCTGCTGTCCATTGGTCTGAAATACAAGCCCAACGAGATGGTCAACATCGGATCATATAAACTGTTTCCTGGGTGTATGGTTCTTGTTGTCAGGTTCTTTGGAGTTCTGTAACTACTTCGACATTCAAAGGGGCCATAATCAACATCTTCTGCATCGTGTACCCAATCCTCTCCATGCATAGGGGCAGTTGGGTAGCCTAGTGGTTCAAGCTTTCCTTCATCATGCCGAAAGCTTTGGTTTACAACATGTGAAGCCCATTTCAAATGTCACCTGAGATGTTGCTGGAATATTGCAAATAATGGCATAAAACCAAAAACCAGACTCACTCAGTGCTGTAGATAAGCCCATTAGGTGAGGGGGGGGGGGGGAGAGAGAGAGATAAAAAGAGGGAGAGAGAGAGAGAGAGAGAGAAAGAGAGAAAGAGAGAGAGAGAGAAAGAGAGAGAGAGAGAGTCCGGTTGAACTTGCAGGGCTCAGGGTCATTTATGGAACCTTCGACAACTGGGCCACCCTGGGGCATTGTGGTCTAAATATGGGAGCTTTTTCAGAAAAGACTGTACCCCTATCCTGTAATAACAGGGCTTCTTTAAGGAGCTTACTATGTTGAATACAGTACTGACTAACATTCTTCCTCACATTCTCCAAATGAATCGAACATCAAGACAATACATTCCTTCCACTTGTCAGTTTGAATGATTTCAAAAGAACTGAAATATCGCCACTGACAAGATAACCACCATTTACAACATAACATCATGGAAGATTTACCCGCTGGGATCTTTGACCAAGAATTTAGACTGTCCTTCGAGTTCTCTCTCCACATTGGTGTCTGAATATAGTCCAATGGGGTTGTTATATTTCTGCGCCATGATGGCCTTGACCTTCCCTTGGGAGGAGCCCGCCGCGCCGGGCGTGTCTCCCGCAGGGGGCTGTCCGAAGGCAGTGGGGGCTTCTGAAAGGGTGGTGGATGAGTTGGCAGGCAAGATGAAGTGCGGAATCTATGGGTAGTGGCTAAATGACATTCAAGGACCGTCCATTTCATATTCTTGGGAGTGGGGATGGATCCTGGGAGCTTTAGAAAAGACTAAATCATTTCAGAAAATAATTTTCCCTCAGATTTAACAAAATATTTCCGAAATATACTTTTCTGGACATTGTGGATGCCCTGAATATAAGGTATATTAAAAAGAAAAAGGATTGTTAGGAAGTAATGACCCAAAAAATATTTGTCATACTCCATGGCCCCATCCCTTCCAGAATATTAAATGGTCAGTTCCTTAAGCAGTGTTCGAAATTAAGGAGGGTCACAAGGTCCCTGAGGTGTACTCCTATAGTATTTGAAGCAAGGGACCCCCTAAATCTATATTTTTAACATTACTGTTCTGACATGTGAAAACCCCTTTAACTTTCATACTTAATTTCGACCACTGCATATGTATGAGATATCTAGAGGATGGCACAAGTGAGTTGCTCTGCCCAATTAAGCAATATTCCAGCTATATCATGGCAGTCTGTAAATAATCAAGGCTGTTGAGGCAGACGTACTAGAGGACGATGGCATGAAAAACAGAGCCTGCTTGGGTTCAAAGACACACAGTTGGTTAGGTCAAACATCGTAACCACCAAATCCTCATCAGTCTTATACGACAAGCATGAGTACAAGGGTTTTATTTTGACCCAGAATGCAAATTTGGGAAAGGATTGCAATGAAGGAACCGATGATCGCTGCCTTTGTGAATATTTAAAATATTGTACGATAATATTAACATACCCATGTATATCATGCTAGTTCTCAAACTTTTTTTCTGGATAAATTGTTTGCACTCATCGCTGCAACTGATTCAGTACGATCAACTGATACAAAACTGAGTGAGTGAGTTGGGTTTAACGCCGCTTTTAACAGTATTCCAGTTATATCACGGCGTGTCAGCTTAATGTGGGAGGAAAGCCCAAAGTGATGCAGGTCTCACACGTTTACCACTTCTGTGAAACTGATGAGCACGGGTATGGTGCTGCTAAACCTAGAAACATAATTGGGGCGAACCGGGATTCGAACCCACAATCATAGGTTTCTGGCGTGCCTGAGGGATGCAACTGCACAGCGAATCGCGGCGCCTCAGATGACCGGGCCACCCATGCCCCCTGATACAAAACTGCCCTGAAGTCCCTAGAATCAACACACAGTGTGTTGAATAATGTATGTCATTACTTTACTTAACAATTAGCTGAAGAAATTTCTAAATGACCATATAATGTGCAAAACATTGGACGGTTAATGAAATTGCAAAAGGGGGAGTTATCTCCCTTGGGTCATGGCTGATCAAACTTCATCCCAGTGCATAACATCTTCTTACCCTCCCAGCATCTTTGCTGCCACCAGAAGGGATTCTGTCATTACCACAATCAAACCAAAATTCTTGTGATATATGTGATTTTGTGAAATGTGAAAATAGCCAAGGACATATTTACGTTTATTACTTTCAAAGACTCATTCCACGTCCATGGCATCCAATTATCCGAAATATCCCTTACATTTTCTATTACAATATTTGTTTCCTTAAAAATATTTCCATTTCAAAAACATAAATTAATAGTGACATCTGACATACCTATCTGGCATACTTGTTTCATGGCTCATCTCTTATTTATAACAGTGTTTGGTGGGTCACGATTAACTCCATGTGTGGATAAGGACACCTAGAAGTGTGAGAAGTTCTGAATGGTGGCAGCGATAGTATTGGGAGCAGAGGGATCGATGTATCACTAAAAGGAGCTTGATGGCCATAGCCACAACATTATTTCCAAGAATTGTGAAACTGTTGAGAATTATCTCCTTGAGATATAGCTGGTATCTGGCCCACCTTGTCCACTGTCCATGAGACCTTGAAGAAATTTGAAAGATCTTGATTGGTTCTGTGTGGGGTCTGGCGCCGTGTCCCTCTCCGTATACCGCTGTGCTGCGGTTAGGTAGTCAGGTGCCTGGCTGCTGCTGCTGCTGATGGGAGACATCAAAACTAATTCACAGCTGGTACTAGTGTACGTTCCGAGAATCTAGGCTGGACGTTGTGTAGCAGATACACAAGAAAATAGATCCTCTGTGAACAACTGTACAGAGTCAAACAATAACCCTTGTTTACATGCTAAGTGTTTGGATATGTACGGAAAAGGACCTGATCACAGAAACTGTAATAAAAAGTGACATTGTTTAAGTGTACACATTTTATGATGTTAGGAGTGTATTTAGTATTTAGGATACTTGATTTTTGTACTGAGTGTTACTGAGTGTTACTCTTAATGATAATTTAAGATAGCTCTGCACAATATGTAACTATATAAGCCATGCTAAATTGTTTTTGCACTATGTCTTACTTTATTAATATCTATATTGGACATTTTGCTGATACACGCTAAACAAAAGCAGCAACGAACATAAAAACATGTCATCTTACAGGTTTCAGCTTTCACAACATGGAAGTTAAAACTGATTTCAAGACGTTTCAATACCAATTTTTGCACTTGGTCAGTCATTACATCAAATAAGTATTTCTGTCTAAGTATTAGATTTGATCAACATGATCAAGGTTAGAATTAATCAGTCAATCAGTTAGCCTCGTGGCTCAATGTAAGTGTGCCTAATGACTAATACAGTTAGCCTAATGGCATATAGTATGATTAGGATACACACATTAGACTTCCTTGAACAATAATCTCAAGATCATTGTGTGTACATGTAACCAGTTTAGACAACACTGACATTGTAGAATACAATCTTAGCACTATATTGATTAAACAATCAATTAATCCTTCATTAGTACTAAGTTAACATTTTGTACTTTTCCACGTTGAAATTAGTCTATTAGTAATATATTTAACACAAGGGCACGAACAAAAACACATGCTTTAGTTCAACAAAAAATTCATCAACTTTTCAACACCAGCATCTGCAAAACCATCACAACAAACATACTAACTACACTTATATCAGCATACGTGTGGTGTTCTCTGAGGTGCGCAATGGTCTGAACAGTTGCAAATTATTGATGCCTATCAAGAAAACTCTCCAAACTTCACATAATTCACATTTAAAGTTCAAGTCCATCTCAGCTGTATGTACAGAGAATCTCACCGAGTGTCTTTTGTTATAAAATATATCAACACGAGTTGATGAGCTGAAAAACTCTGAAATCTTATTGTCACCCATTTCATTCTTAAATCGAAATATATCGAAAAATCAGTGATTTATTAAAACGATATCTACAAAGTAGATATCGCTTTACTGTCACCCAAGCGGTATCTCCTGTGGGAACCAGTTTTGGATGATATATCTGCTTTGATCCATACATAAGAGCATATCATCATACCCAACCATCTGAATTACAGGAGATTCCAGCCATGTTAACTCTTCCACCACATGAATTGAATCACTACAAATGATGCCAAAAGGATTAAATTCCAATTTGAAACTTTTGAATTTTAACATACTTGCAAGTCTTCTATAAATATTAGGACAGTCTTGACAATATATTTCAAACAGTCCAAGAACAAATATTCAAAAACTTGGTTTATGTGGCGTAATCCAGAGTTACCTGCCCTCTGGTTCCCACCTGGGGAAAGAGGCATGCAGACAGGTGCACCTACCCCGAGATGTTCATGTTCTGTGTCTGCTGAGACAGGCTGTTGACGCTGGGGCTACTGAAGCTAGGGGCAGCAGCTGGGGCAGCAGGGGCAGCCGGAGACGGCGCCCCGAAAGGCTTGGGGGCAGCATTGAAGTTCTGTCGATAAAAACATTGAAAATAACAAAGATGGTCGTGACATTGAAGAGAAAATGGAGAAAGAGAAAATGGCAGGAAATCCTTCAAAATGCAGAAGTGTCAAGTTCATTAGGTACCCAACCCAACCCAGTGAGTGAGTGAGTGAGTGAGTGAGTGAGTGAGTGAGTGAGTGAGTGAGTGAGTGAGGCAACAACTAAACTACATTTTAAACATTGTTCCAAAAATGTTTCTTATGCAACTGGAACATACCAGGGGAACAAATATATCTCTTATTTTTACCCCAAAAAATTGTAATATACAAATTGTAAACTGGGACTTCTTCCAGTCTTGTTTATTGATGCTGTGTTTACATCTTGAGATTCTGATGTTTGTATGAGGGTGCATAAAACTAGAGGGCAGCAAGAGTGTATCAAAACACGACACTCAACGTCTCTCATCACATGTTCATTTCGGGATATATTTAGTACGCAGACAAGATAATACTTCTTTCATGAACACCACTGTTTACAAAGGAGGAAAATATTTCAATGTATATTTATTACATAGATAATATCACACTCTTTTACGAAAAAGAAGTCTTATCAGTTCCTGATTTCTTTCCCTTATGAACAGATGGTGTTGGAACTAGATATGTGCCCCGATGGACATGAGGTACAAGTCATCTACCCAGATCACAGAGTTCACATAGTTCACAGAGTTGGACAGGTTCCCCCATCCCCTCCAAGTCAATCTGGCAAATCCAGGATGTCATGGGAAACCCACAAGGTTTTAACACATCCATGAGTAGTTGTCAGGAAATCATACTGTATCAATCATAATCCTCTTCCTCACCATCATCATCAATTTCTGATCCATCATTTCAGTTATGTTTTGGAGTTGATATCTGACTCATGATTATTTATTACAGGAAAACTTCTCCATATCTGAGGTAGCAGTTTGTCTGGTTCATAACCCTCCCAATGCCAGAAAACCCACCCTACAACCCCGTCAAATGGTTGGCTATGATATCTGGCTGCCATCACACCAACCCCATCCACCCCAAAAACAACACATGCCCCCATCCAACACATTCTTAACCACCCCACCTCCACTCATGCAGGCACCCACACTTGACCACACCTGTCCCTCCCACCCAATCTAGCTATCATTCAGCCGAAGACCCATGTTTCATTCCACAAATGGATCCAATGTCTAAAGACAATTGTTTAAGTCATTGTCCATAATAGTGCTGCAAAATTGCTCAAATGGAACATAAGCAAACTCCCTCTCCTCCAACAGATCAGGTGTGTGAACAAGTCATACAAGACCCCATTCTCTTGATAACGACCATCAAGGACAAGCTCAGGAAATTGGGCATCCTGTTTCAATCAACTCGACACAGACGTTTGTAAACATGTTTAAAGCAATCTCTGTGGTTACACTTAGTAAATATCCAGAAAAACTATATTTTTCTAGAAGAATTTAGTTACAGGGTTAAAAAGCAAGTCTTAACGTCAGACATGACAGTGTTTGTGGAGGCATTCACAGACGAGTGTGTCCAGGCCTTGAACACTGTTCCTGAGGCCAGCACAAACAGGCAGTAAATACTCAGACTTATCACCTAATGATAGAAACCTATAACTGTATCACCAAGTTATTTCTTAATGAACCAATGAGCAGTTTAAATATCGTCAAAAACACAGCCAAATTGCTTTGGAGATAGCTGAACACCCAACAGATGAACTTGTGTTTGCGTAGGCAGACACAACTATTTATGGCGCATTCTTTTGGCGGTGCTCTCCCTGAATATCAGTTGAGTCTCTGCCAGGTATAACTATGATAACATCCCACACAGAACTGCAGGTGTAAACAAGGAATTCCAGTTCCTGCTAATGCAGCACATTTCAAATGTCTGATAATTTTTGGATAAATGACCATCTCTATCACTCTAATCACTAATTTAGCGCAGAATTTCTCTCACTCTTGAGTGTAATATAATTAGATGGCTATTTTAAGTGTCATTCCATTTGAATCAGGCTCAGTTTCTGTAGCAAATTAATTGTGGGTACTGATCTTAATACAATGGATGGATTTCTATGTTCCTTTGAGTTGGCAGTCAGAATAGGGTAGTGTTGAGGGGTAACTCCATGAGTGAGTGTTTTCATCAACTTCACAACAGCCTGGAAATAATTGAGTCGTAGCCAGGCAAACCAGTAGTTGATAGCAAAATCAAGAATCTCGGGTACGTCATGACACAATCAGACAGCTCACTCACTGTAAGCACAGGATCCTCATTTAGTCAAAACTCGGCAGTCATTATGAGTGAGTTAGATTAACGCTGCTTTGAACAGTATTCCAGTCATATTAGGACGTGTCAGCTCAATGTGGGAGGAAAGCCAGAAGTGATGCAGTTCTGACGTTCACCACTTCGGTGAAACCCACGAGCACAGTATGGTGCTGAGAACCCTAGAAACCTACCAGGGCAAACCAGAATTCAGACCCTCAATCATTGCTTGCTTGTGTGTCCAAGGGATGCAACTCTGCACAGCAAATTGTGGAGCCATAGACAGCTGGCCCACTCATGCCCCCAGCCATCATTATAACCAACCATTCAACATAATTACAGAGACACACTACTTCCTAGTTTCCCATGGGGCAAAGCCCACTACAATCGTTTAATCCTGAAACTTCTCCATCAGGAACATCCCCAACATCAACATGGCCATCATCATCAACATCCACAGTCAGCACTGACAGAAGGTCACAGGAAACCCATGTAAGCATGTTCAACAACTCATGTGTCTATTTTCAACTCTTCAACAGCTGCCAAACACATACTTCCAACAATGTTTCTATTGGTTTCATGTTCTAGCTCCCCTTCTACACAGAAGAGCACCCTACACATGGCCTTCACTCACCTTGGCATTCACAGAACTAAAAGGTTTCAGACTCAACAATGGCATGTCATCACTCGGTCCAACTGACAAGTACCGTATGATATCTGTGGCAGTGTTAGAATTTGCCAGTAAAGTTATGAGCAGAAAAGTTGGCCTCCTACTGCATTTGTCTAAGAATAATATTTGAAACATATTTCACAAAATTTATCTGAGGTGGATTCAGGATTTTGAAAGTGGGGTGTACATGATACTGAAGTCACAAAGTGACTTGGATGAGGACACAGTTTACATGTAACATGCACCCCTCCTCTCGAGTCGCCAGTGTTTAATGGTTATACATTATGAATGTTCTACCTGTAGATCTGACCCCTGAAGAGGCGACTAATGGGATCGGGTGGTCAGGCTCGCTGACTTGGTTGATGCATGTCATCGATCCCAATCGATGCTCATGATATTAATCACTGGATTGTCTGGTTCAGACTCGACTATTTACAGACCGCCGTCATATAGCTGGAATATTTCTGACTGTGATGTTAAACAACAAACCAACCAACCTGTAGATCTAAATAACATTCGTGTAACTTGATTAGCTTGTTGCATTTAATATATTATTACCCATATACTGTTTGTCTTCATTCAAACCATTTTTTATTACACACAAAAACAAATTCCATGAGTTAAGAAAATAGAAAGTATTTATCATGATATTTTGGAATCAAACCATTTGATTAGACTTTTCAGGAACGTTATCATAGATCTGACAGCATGAGGTTATCAGCTATAAGTACAATCATCATAACTGAGGTATCAAATAGGTAATAACATATCCCCAAATTCCCAACCAACTTTAGGTGAGGTAAAGTGACATGGGGTTTAACCTTGTCCTGTTCAAGATTATTTCACTTAAATAGTGACAAGCATACATGTGTGTGTGGCTGCTTGTACTAGTCTTGACTAATGCTGGTTATATTGTGCTAGTCCACTGAGATAACATGCTGCAGGCTGACAAGTGCCATCTTTTAACATCCTTAGATATGATGTGGCCAGAGAATCGAACCAGAACTGACAGGATTCCACATATAAGATGGAGTCAGTAATAGTCTCAGCCTTATTCAATGTGCTACAAGATTCAACCAAGGAGTCTGACAAGCAGCATTTGTAACATGGTAATACTGGAATCTTGTCTCTGCTGACTAACCCCCTGGCTTATAGGATCAGCAATGCAAACAAGAGCCCAAGTCAAAAAGATACTGCTGTCAGCTTGAATCACTAGAAGCAAACCAAATGTTTCCCTCCCATAGTATACTATCACTACTGATCAGATGCTGCCAGGTGTTAGCAGAGATGCAACCATAAACTGAGGCAACTGGGAATATCTGGAATAATTGGTGTCTACAATTGGGATTGAAAATATATCCCATTTGTTATCATTTTAAGCATGTTAGACTATATGGCTAGGAGGAAAATAAACGATCTATTGTATCATTTTTTTTCCTCCAAGCTGCTCAAAATCTGAAAACGTTTCCATCACAAGCTAACACAGGAGATTACTTATTCATTATTAATCTGTATGGGTAGCGTGGTTAATATCTGGTTTAAGTTACAGGCAATGCTGTTTGGACAAATTTGTAACATACAGAATAACTAATGATTCTGGCCAAATCACACTGACAGCCCACAGTATACTCCAGGGTGATAACACATGTCTCAGCTGTCTGTTCTCAGAGCCCAGCAGGTTAGCTGTAACCTGACCCCACAGGCAACCCACACCTTCCTACCTCCTACCACATACACGATTATCAAACTCCATAAACATTTACCAACAAAACAAATGGTTGCATGATACGGACACCCTGCAAGTGATATAACAATTGTTATGCTCAGATCTCTATCTCCTTGAGGTGACCTTTCGCTGGCGCCATTGGCTTCAGGACAGTCTGGGAATCATGCTGGCCTCCCAAGTTGTCCCTGATAATTATTGATTATCAAAGATAATAAACTCAATTTCACATGATTAATATTTGAACAACAAAAAAAACATTGAATTTTATTTTAATAGCTATTGAAGAAAAAATTATTTAAATGCATTTGAAGGCACCAAGGTCAGGTTTTACTTACCACCTGTTAACACAGTGCTAACACAAATATGTGATGTCATTAAAAAGACAGTAAAGATTCAACAGGTCTCCGATATGTTTCCATGTGTATGATACAGACTATACTCCGATTCCACAGTCTGCAAGAATTATCCATCATTACCAGGAAGCAATTCATTACCTGGCTGGGTAATCACATGACACAATATACATACATACGCACCCTGTACATGGGGATGAGGAGGTAGTGCTGACAGATAAACCTTGGTGTGTTGTATGAGGCCTCTGCCCAGAACCTGGACTTGGGATACAGTTACTTGATCTCCATTGCAAGAATCTAACGCCCTATCCTTTTATAGCGAGTTGCTTGGTTATGTTATATGAGGGCCAGCTGTCTACACAATGGTCTTATGCCATCTCACTGCAATACGACCACTGCCGCTATTGTGCCGAACAGGAAGCCTGCAATGGTTTGGACGGATGATGACGCCAAAGTGAAATGTCAACGTCCCCAGAAGCAGTTTTTTAACCATTTGTTAACTTTATGCATGCTGGGTTAAAACGAGGTGACTGTTATTTCTGAATTATATTTATTTTGAAACTGGATGTATATTCCAGATGTGAAATAAAAGGGTAATATTTTGTGCTATTCTTTTTAGTTTGAGATGAAGGTGAATCTTTGGGTAGAATTTTCATGAATAGTTACTACCGGTACTATTAATATTTGAATTAGAACTTCTTTGTGGAAATAAAATGTAATGTTTCCATTGTGTTGACTTTTCAATGTGTAACACTTTGTATAGGACATTTCCTTGCTTGTCCGTCTCCACATGGTCACAGCTTGTAAAGTTGTATTCCCCTCAAAACAAATATTACTCCCAGTACTGCTAAACTTCATAAACCCTCAAACAATATGATTTTATGTGATCTGATATTAAGCATATTGAAATAGTAATCTGTGAACATCAAATACATCTTAATTACATTTCTAAGGCATATTTATTTTGGTGTAAAGAAAAATAATTATTTCCTATTTCCTGCTCACAACTTTTAGAAATGATTATTTCATAAACAATCATATACACCTTATCCAGTGTGTGTTTATTACTAAAACAATACTGTTTATTTTACCACAGCAAAAACAGGCTACATACACACCCAGACAAATTCTGTGACTTCTCTGACAGTCCGTACAGATTTATTCATTCACAGCCGGCCCACACCTGTCTCGGTAACCTTATAAATAATTCAAGCCTTCAAAACAGTTTTTAACAAATTAGGTGATGGTTTTGTCTTGCCTTTCTAACATGCATAATTACAGCATTTGTATTCAGTGGTTGCTGACATGTTGTTTGCATGATGATTCAGATTGCACTATCAGTATAGTGTCATTTCAACAAGGGATCTAACAGCTTTGATATGTGTCTGTGTGCTTTGAGGATTAAGAAGGGTGAGTGGACAGGGACATGCAGACACTGGTTGACATCCCTCTGATTTCCCTCTGGCTATACAATGTTTCTCCTAACAACTACTTACAAACTCAAAGATATGTTGTCACAAATGGCCGACAAGTTGGTTGTTTCTCTGTTTAGGCCTTCTGTATTTGTTGAGTGATTCTCATCTCTTAGCACGCCTAAATTAGCCCCACTCAAAAATAATTGTTACATCCACCTATTCTCCAATGTGTAAATATATATTGAACAAAAAGGGTTTGGGATCATGAATATTTTGCAGAATATTTTTAGGTACTGGAGACTGGGCACACCATTTCATAAAACTATTCTCCCAAATATTCATGATCCCTAACTGTTTTGTTCATCATACATCATCCTGCCCTGGAGAAGTTCTGCTCTTTCTATTTTCCTTCCTTCCACCCACCTGAAGATTGGGATGGCGGTGAGAAACACATGAACTAATACGGATGGCCTTACAAGAGTTGGGTTGGCTTCCCCTTCTGCCACCACATCTCGTCTTAGTCACTTGAAACGATAGTGTTGGGCTGAGCTCTTTCAACCCCAGGATTCTGATGAGGTGCACAACCCAAGAATTCTGATGAGATGCACAACAGAAGAAAAAACACTGAACAGTGCTGATACAAACTCATTTGAATGCTTCACAACTCCACATCCTGAATAGCATTCTTCATCTTAGTACAAACTCCAGCTTGACACACGTTTGAAAACATTCCCTGACAGATGTAATGAGAACATATGGTGATATCCACTTTTCCATGACATATGTAATGACAACATATGGGAATATCCACTATTCCCTGACAGTTTTAATGACAACATATGATATCCACTATTCCCTGACAGGTGTAATTATATGAGAATATCCACTATTGACAGTTGTAATTATGTGAGGATATCCACTATTCCCTGACATTTGTAATTATATGGCGATATCCACTATTCCCTGACAGATGTTATGACAATATATTATGCTATCCACTATTCCCTGACAGTTGTAATTATATGGTAATATCCACTATTCCCCGACAACTTTAATGGCAATATATGGGGATATTCAGTATTCCCTGACATATGTAATGACAATATATGATCATATCCACTATTCTCTGACAACTTTAATGACAATATATTGTGATATCCACTATTCCCTGACAGTTGTAATGACAATATAAGGTGATATCCACTTTTCCCTGGTAACTTTAATGACAATATATGGTGATATCCACTATTCTGACAGTTGTAATGATAATATAAGTTGATATCCACTATTCCCTGACAATTGTAATGACAATATATGGCGATGTCCACTATTCCTTGACAGTTGTAATGACAATATACTGAGGATATTTAACCGTGGTAGTCAAATACGCTGTTTATCTCCCTGAGAGACTTGGTTAGAATAGATGTTTTAACGAGTAGCATTGATCAGGGAAAACCAGATAGTCTGACAGACAGTCAAACAAAAATTCCCTTAACAATCTCATACAAGTTAGCAAGTCTAAATTTCTTAAGTCTTAGGAAATTGAATCTTCGGCACTCCTTTCTACATATTAAAACAGAAATAATGAAAATCTTGCCAGGCCCCATGCTGTTTGGACCAGGGGAGACATTGTGACCACCAGTCCTCATTATAGTTGGTTCTTGACAAGCATGGTGCACTGCCAACCTGTGCTACACTGGTATCATCATGTGGGGAGTCAGTTAATGACTTAATAAGGGTTCTGTTTTTGCCATGATGCAATTACAAGCACCTCTGGTAGAGCAAAGTAGGTATTTCTTTTCTGCCAAGTGTCTTGAAAAGCGAACGATCACTCATCCCACATCCTCACCACACTCTGTGTTTGTTACTTCTTGGTTTCAATTTCATACCTTGTACCTAGAGACTATTTTCAAATAATCAGAAACTCATTACACAGCTGTGCAATGAATAGGGATTTAGCTGCATAAATGATCACGATGCAACTGCCTTAATCCGTGTGTGGAGTTTGTGCTTGAATTTGAAAATGGCGTTTAAACATTGCTGCAGCTATCACAGAGCTCAAGATAAGCTGCATATTTGCATAAAATATGCATTAAATAAACTGAAATATGCAGACAAATCAAATCCTAGCGTATCAAATATAAAACAAACTATAAATACGCTATTCGAATAAAATTAATGCAATTTAGATAAAATGATTGTGTATAAGACAATCGCCAAATTCACTAACCAACAATTACATTTGGAAAAGCTTCTGCGACAAACATACTGATAGATGCCACATTGAAAAGTACATTGTGCCTAGTCAATGTACATGTTGAATCTTAATTAGTCGCTGATTGGTAATTAAAACAGGTTTTTAAGTTAAATGATCGAATGTCATGAAACAGGTGGGTAAAAAAAAATTGAATTCCCTCTAAAACTTGTGGATACCCAATCAAAATCAAACCCCTGGGTAAAATACCCAAATAATCAAAAGCTTATCTATAGCCCTGTATCATAAAGAAAACATGTAGAATTGTGCTACATCACGGTGTACATGCCCTATCAAGATGTGTGTGCTGGATCAAGGTGTGTGTGTGTGTGTGTGTGTATGTGTGCTCTATCCAGCTGTGTGTGTGTGTGTGTGTGTGCGTGCGTGGGTGGGTGCGTGCGTCCGTGCGTGCTCTCTATCAAGCTGTGTGTGCGTGTGCGTGTGCGTGTGCGTGTGCGTGTGCGTGTGCGCGTGCGCTGGATCAAGCTGTGTGTGTGCGTGTGTGTTGTCTATAAAGCCGTGTGTGCTCTATCAAGGAGTGTATCTCACCTGTGAGGACTGGAAACTCCCCTGTGCTGGGCTGGATCCTCCCCCGAACTGGTTGACAGGAAACTTGTCATAGGCAGGCTGGATACTTGAGCCACCTCTGAAGATTAAACATAAACTTTACAACACAAGGCTTTTGTTTCTATAAAAGTGACATCTGTAGACACCATATCATCTCATTCAGCTCATTAATCCTGCGTTTCATCTTGCTTCATTAACTAACCAGTACTTCACAAAATGGTGATAAAAAGTTTGCAAATAAATATTTAAATATCATTATTAATATTATTAATAAAATGTCCATATATTTACTGATAATGACATGTTTTTATTGCTAATAGAAAACGTGACGAGACACACAAAAAGTCACTTTTACTTAATTTGTATAGTTCCAATGCAATGAGTATCACAAAGCAAGATGAAACAAAGGATTATCAAAACTATCCTATGTAACAATAACAATGATAAACATAAACACATTTCAGACTATCAACACATGACAGAGCACAAGAAGCTTGATGGGAAAAATACTTTGAAGTACATCCGATGCAACTGAAAAAGGGAGATAACTCTTGCATGATAACTGAACAAGGAAATAACATAGGGTCACACTGGATCTGGATCTTAATCACACTTTCAACAAAATGACAATGCGTCTTTGTATCCTGAATTTCAGGGAAGCAAAACAATGACAATGACAAAACTTAACAGGGGTAGAACTCTTCAAAACTGTCCATTCTGGATACTTTGATGAAGGACTTTAATGAACAAATAACATTTAAAGCTCAAAACAATTAAACAACATACTAACATTAAACCTAGGCCTACACAGAATTTCAAATGAACATATTTCATGCTTAACTATGGTTACAAATATTCAACTAAGTATGTCAAAAGTGTACATAAATTCATCATCAAAAGCATGCATATCCACGAAGCCTAAAATAACCTTTGAGAGCAACAAACACAAAACATATCTCATCAATTTTCTGATAAATTCCAAATCCATAAGCATTAGGATTTCTAAGGTTCATGTAAACAGAGTTACTAAACTAACAGGTTTGACAAGGCTATAAATTTAGACCACTTAACAGCGTGTTGGTTTTCCAAGTGATATTCATACAATACACCTATTCATCAAGTTCAAAGAAAGCGTGTGGTACTCTATATTGAGATACTTAATCTGTGACACATGGTCTCCATATATGCAGAAACTGTTAGTTTCTTATCTGAGACTGGGTTTGCAGAGCAGCCAGACAAGTTATAAAACACTATGGCTTTGTTGTGTAGCTCACAGCAAGAGCTACTGAGGGGCTAGGTAGGTTAGAGAATTCCAGTAATGTCATGACAGGGTCTTCACGATTTGGCTTTACACAGTGTATTTTGTACTCAAATCAAATCCCTGTCTTCGGTGTGACAGCCAAAAGTCTTGACAACTAGACTAAATCTCTCTTCAATGCAAGATAGATTATCACGATAACAAGCTGAAACTTGAGTGTTCATTCTCACAAAAAGTAGAATATGTATTTAAACTTTCAGCATCTTCAGAGTTAAACAATTACAAGTTGTTTATTTTAAATCATTAAACTATTAAAAGAAGAAACTGCTTTCTGACAAGTCTAAGCTACACAATCAACATCATGCTGACTACTCTATTAAACCTTTTCACACTCATCTCATGCAGTTTGTGGCCAAGGACACAGAAAGCTATAAACAGGTTATAAGTACATTGATTCAAAAGTAACTCTATACGGCTGAAACAAACCACATTGGTCATTTGTTGACAGCATAAGGGTTAATACACCATGCCCACAAGTTATACACAACATGGAGTCAATATACATGTTATACATTTCTACATAAGGCCATTTAGTTACACATTGTACATTATGTAGGTGATCCTATGGTTATAATAATCTATATCTCCTTCATGCTGTACATTTTTACTACACAATCATACTCACCTGTTAACCGGTTCACTTTTCTTTTCTTTAATTCTAAATTAAATAATTTAAACCTCTTCAAAAATTGGATAGGTACTTAAATCATTTATGTGTGGATAAAACCTAGTTGTAGTATTTCAGTTCTATCATAGCATGTCAGCTTAATGTTGGAGGACCAATCTAGCAGGCCATTGAAGCTGTTTAAGCATTTTACTGCATCCATGGCAACATTTAATATAGATTGCTCTGTAAATGTGTATTAAAACCGTTATATCTTCCTTAATCTTCAATCTTTGATCTTTCCACTTTTCCCCTTCAAACCTTATGATTAGCACAGGGTCATCCATCAAATACAGGCAAATTTTGTCAGGCCTTATCACAAAATCCCAGTGATCAAGTAAGAAGAGTGTGGATTACGAGACAGGCAGTTATAGCATTGACTCTCTGCCCCCCTAGATCCCAGGCGAATCTGCCCTAACAAATAATCATATCCTACAAGAGTCCGATAAACTTGGATAACTTCGTTCTCGCACCCCAACTCTGCGTATGCATGTGACTGAGCATGAAAAGCCATTACTTTGTGCAAGTTTCCAGTGAGTGGGTCTGAATGGCCGTAGACAGCATGTCAGGCAATGACAGGAGTGTAATGAGGGTTATTCTCCGCTTCATTTTACCTTCACATACACATGATATACAGCTGATAAGATGTGGAATAAACAGGATATACATCATGTACACCGAATTACAGTCTTAGTGGATGTCACTGCTTACGAAACCTTTGAACTATGAATGTGTAACGAAAACTTTGAACTATGAATGTCTATTTGTTTGTTTGTTTGTTTGTTTATTATGAAGACTGTTTAAAGTACTTGTGAATAGTCTTTTTAGACTCAATGAAAATGATGACACACACAATTCCGAATTGATTCATTTGCATGCACTGATTATGCTGCTGATGACGATGCTTATGATGCTGATGATGATGATGATGACAGGCAAATCAAGCAATAATGATATCCTGCACATGGTTTTCACCATGGTTGAATCTCTAGTCACCATAGACCATACTGTTCGAATAGCATTAACATCCCTTTGCTCTAGCATGGTGGTGCTGCAATTTATCAAGGTTATTTATCAACTGAGGTAGTTGATTACCACCTTAAGTACCCCATAATGCCAGACACTCATTAACATACTCTGGCAATAATCAGCTTTCAGATAAGTGTGCAATAATTTACAATCTGGCACATTAGTAACACATAAGAACTAGATACTGGTTCTTCAACACAGCATTATAGTGCTATTTAGAAACTTAATTCTTTTGCACTTTCTTTATTTTACCTACAAGGTACTGTGTTACCAAGCTTCTGAAATACATCAATTTAGAAGTTCATTTCTAGTCCTGCACCATGACTGTGGACTTCCTACTTATTCAATTATCCTTTACTAAAAGCTTAGGCAAGTCTAGATGAAACCAAACAAGTCTAGTTTCCTTGATTCTACATGAAAATAGCATCAGAGGAAAGGTTCTTGTGAACAAAATTGTTATTTTAAAGAAATGTGTTCTTAGACTAAGTGTTAGTCTTGTCCATCTGATAGGGCCAGCATAGGTTTCTGGAAACCTGATGTAACCTGGAATCCCCATGGGGAATCACGATATTGTCACATATGCATGTAGGTTACCAAACACTTGCATCTATTAAACACATGTTTATGAAGATGACTAGACAATATTATATAGACATATTGGAGAGGACATTATTCATCAACAGCTTTGAAACAATAACCAGGATATACAACACAGGCATGTTATACTTGCATTCAGGTTTTTATCATATCAATGGTGATCAGAAAATATTTATTTTATTCATTTCCCAAATATCCTGAATTTCATAGCAACAAACTGCTATTGAAGTCCCCATTACACTGTGAACATAGGCTAGGACAAGCAGGGGGATGTACAGCCGGAGTGCTGTCCCTGTCCATTCCAGGAATAGCTGCTGGTGTAAACACAAACACATGATGGGGAGGAAATCTCAGATATGTCAACAACATGGGAGATGTCAAATTGGCTACAGTCACCCTGCCAACATGGGCAAGGGTTTTCTCAAAAACTTGTCTGTCAATTAAAAACAATAACATGTCATTTTCTTAATCAGACATTATCATGATTATCATAATACATATCTCATTTTACATTATTTAGGAGATTATAGTTTAGTCTCAAACTTGAGCTACATTCATAACAAGAAACTTGGTATTTATACATTTACATATGTTATAACTTTTGACATGGTCCCCGTGATGGAGGTTGACATTTGTGTGTGATGTGGGTCTGTTTCGGTGACAAGTACATGGTAAGGTCTGCAGGGTATCCCACATCAATACTGTGAAGGGCTTGCCAGCAAATGTCAAGTCAGAACAAAAACATGAGGTGCAGAGGTCGCCTGTCACCATATTCCACTTGGACATAGCAGGATTAGACTCAGAGTGACCACCAAATCTAAAAACCCGCACTTTTCCACACCACAATATTCAGGAAAAATGCAACAAAAAAGCCTCATAATGTAAAGGTGAAAGACTATAGGACATTTACCTACCTTTAAAACTTAACCATAAGAAATAATAATCTATATATCACCATGTTAATTTTTAATAACAGGTATTCAACACTCGCAACATTTGTAACATTGTACAGGGCTATGCAAAGCCTCTCCCCCCCAACACCCACCCACCCGACTTCCCCCGACACCGACATCTAAAACACTGTATGGTCAGCTTGACCTTCCACACAGACACTACTCCAGGTAATAAAGCTGTTGTCTTAACTAAGTAATTTTTATCAGCTCAGATCTATGATCACCAGGTTCTAATAAAGAACCTCTATCCTTCTCCTAGTGTGCATTAGTTATTCATTTGGAAAATAAAATGCCTCTCATCTGAATTGTAACTGAAATTATTATTACCTTACACAGCCTCAGTTGTAACAATGAGCACTGAAATACCTAGTCAACATTATTTATGCATATTTTCGATTTTTAATATCAGCAATTTCATCAATACTTTACCACACAATAATGCATGAGGTATTTAGACTTCATTTCAAACATATCATTTTCAAATGCGCCTCTATCTTCATGGTCTCAGGAAGTTCAGTTAAACCTGAAAGAACACCTTGTTCTGAATGTGTGACTAAATGAATGAAAATCTCTTTTTAATGTGATATTCCTCATTTAAGAATATCAAAGACAAAGAATTCCACTTGCATTGCTTGGACGCATCTTCCAGTAATCCTTACTATCCATTAGAGTGAATGAGTGAAAGCCTGACCTGTCACGTACGTGGGACTAAATGAATGACAGAGATGACAATTATCAGACAACAGGTTTTTCCTTTACATGAATGAACTGACGACTGAATGAACAGGCTAGTGTTCACACCTAGGTGGGGGAACATGACTGACAAAGTTTGTGGAGGTGCCAGGTGCGGTTGCTACATTGAGGACATCTTCATCAGGGTCATCTGAGCACACACTATGCTGCCTCCCCCGACACACAGTGGGAGCTCATTAGCACCTTCCTGCTTCCCGGGACTGCACCTACAGGTGTCTCTTGACACCAGCATGGTAGATCCTACTACACTGGAGGGGAAGGGAGGGGACAGAAGAACACTACTATCGAATCAAAGTCCTAACCCCCACAACCCACCTTAATATACCCTTTCTTGTTCCAGGTAAAATACCCATAACGAGATAAGGGTGGGTGAAAAAACATTAAAAAATGTAACCCTGGATAGGTTTCCTCGAGGGTAAGTGATGTTTGTTTTGTTTGTTTGTGTGTTGTTTAATGCCGCACTCAGCAATATTCCAGCTATATGACGGCGGTAAATAATCGAGTCTGGACCAGACAAATCCAATCATTGACATCATGAGCATCGATCCACGCAATTGGGATACAGTGACATGCATCAACCAAGTCAGTGAGCCTGACCACCCGATCCCAATAGTCACCTCTTGTGACAAGCACAGTCACCTGGGCAAGTGATGAAAAATATATAATTCCAGGGTTGCAGTCAACTAACCAGTTGGTTGTAACTAGAAACAAAAGTTCTGTTCTTCTTGCCTGTGTTTTATTTCCCTGAATGATGGTGCCCTAAACTTGATTTGTGGCATAATTTACCAATTTATTAAAACTGACAGAAAATATTACAGTCTCCATCAAAAGAATATGACAAAATGAAATCAGTCCACTATTAACATCTTGAAACAAATTGGTTATCATAAACACGGTTGGTTATCATCAAATGAAATTTAATTTTTTTAGCTACAACAAAGGAAATTTTGTGCATAAAAAATAATCGTTTTATTCTGAGAATGATCAGTTTGGGACCACATCTGACACAAATTTGAAAATTTCCCTTTCAGCCTTGATATCAATACTTCACCTGCCAACTTGAAACAGTACAATTAATAAAGTCCATGTTCCCATTAACTTGTAACAAACCCCAAACCCAACAAACAAGTTCGGAACATTATCAAGGACTGGTATTAGGCGAAGATAATTAATCACATCATAATGAAAGTCAAAGTCAGTTAATCATTTCACTAGCATTGTATCCCTGTGTTGGGAACAGCCTTGTTATCTAGGACCAAACACACTCCCCTTTGCTGAGTGCTGCGGTGGTTAAACTCTTGATTCACCAGGAAACTATTTTCACTCAAGTCCACAGAGGTTAAGGATCCTTTGCAAGTTTGTTCTACCTGAATCTGGTATTATATGGTGGACTCCCCACAGCTCCCCAAGAGAAGAAGGGGTGAAAGGCCCCAACATAGACTCAGGGGAGGGTCAGAGTTGGGAGGGGGGATTGTAATACAAGGGATACAATGTAGACATTGTACTGGAGAATCAGAGCAGGTGAAGCTAGTACAACAGCTCACCAGGATACAAAAACAATTTTTTGTTTCGGTACACACAGTCTGTAAGCCAGGGCTGACATTAGACACCTCACTTTCCTGTCAAAGCAGTTGTGTATAGCTGTTGATATGTTACACAAAT